CAGGGAATCCAGGGCGGATGAGCCCTACAGGACCAGTGGTGTGAGTGGTGAAACAGGGAGGGAGGGTAGAGGGAGAGTGGGTAGGAAAGAGGGAACCGATTACAAGGAACTATATGTGACCTCCTCCCTGGGGTACGGACACCGAAAAGTGGGTGAGGGGAGACGTCGGACAGCACAAGATGTGAGAAAATAACAATTTATAAATTATCAAGGGCTCATGAGGGAGGGAGGGGAAAAATGAGGACCTAATGCCGGGGGCTTAAGTGGATAAAAAATGTTTTGAGAATGATGAGGGCAATGAATGTACAAATGCAGTTTACACAATTGATGTATACATGGATTGTGATAAGAGTTGTATGAGCCCCTAATAAAATGATTAAAAAATATCTTAATATGACTGAACGATTACATGTTATGATATGTGAAGCATATGCTAAAAGACTTTTTAAAAGAAAACCGTTATATTTCTGAAAAATACTGTAGAACTTCCACCCAACACCCACACACACAAATTTAAACATCATAAAAAAATATAGACAATAAAACAATGGAATAGAAGACTAAAACAAACTCATTCATATAGAAGAACTTGTTATGAGAAATCTAGCACTTTTTAAGGGCAAAATATTCAATAAATGGTGTTGGCATGATTGATTATATGCCAACATAAGAATGTGAACATGCATCTAACTCCTAAGAAACTAGGATGCACAGTTTACATTAGTGGTCTACAACTTGTTTGTACTAATAATACTTAGAATTCATTATATAAATCTAGGCTTACTCACTTAAGTATTAATCAGTAGGGGAATGGTTTAACAACAAAATAAAATTTAGGCAATTGTAGAAATAAAAAAAATACCTATGAAAAGAAGATGCCTCTCGTATCAGTAGAAAAGTAAAGTCATTTTTAGCTGTATCTATAGCATATTATTTCTTTTCTTTTTCTGTAAGCTTCCTGGAAGCCATTTGGATGCCCCAAAACACTTGTTTTCTCATTTTTTATAAAAATTCATCCTATATATTTACGGAAAATATTCCTGAACTTAACCTAAGTATTTTTTAAGAATATTCAAACTGTTTTAAATACTGTTTAGACTCTTTTTTCCCCAAAATTAATTCTTCTTTAAATTTCTTATCTTAAAATTAATTTTGCTCATTCTGCTGGCTTCTATATTTCTATTTGTATGGCTATAATTCAACTAATTTGAGCTTATTTTCTACAAAGTTCCCACCTACTTCAATTCCAAACTTACTGTTTACATAATATAATAGAACAGATATTAAAAAACTAAGTATATAATTTTAGAAATCTAAATAACTAAAGAAAATACCCATTTGAAAAGTTTATGATATAAGGGTTATGGAAGTACTAGTCTAGTAAATCAAGAAGTATGTACAAGTAGAAATGGTTCTCACATGAGTGGTCTGACGAGAAGTTGTGTGGAACCAAGACAAAGTCATCCATGTCACCAGAAGAGTTCTTGCTACTAGTACTGGTAGAATCGTTGGACACTTGTAGATAGTTGGGAGGGCCCAATGGAGGGGAAGATAAATTTTCTTCTTGAACATGCTGCATATCTGGAAGGGTCTAAAATTAACAATAGGAAATTAAAATTGGTCTAATAACCTAGTGCAAGCCAGAATAATAAGTCATTAAATGAAGGAATACCTACCTCCTCCCACCTCACCCCCAGGTATAAAGTTCCATCCAATAACAAAGTGGAAAAAGATTTTCCCCTTAGAAAATCACATTTCTTTTTTTAAAAATCATTTTATTAGGAAAATCACGTTTCTACAGCATCTTTGCACAAAGACTTCAAAATTGTTCTCCAAAAAGTCAGACCGTGGGGTTTGGAGCTGGTGGGGAGTGGGGTGCAAAAGACAAAAGTGAGAACTGAAAACACTATTCATCACATATATGGTCTGCCTCTCATAAAATGTTTGAGGTGAGTTTTTATTATGTCAATATCTCAAGTCTCCAACTCATAGCCTAACAAAGTAAAAGAAGGAAGTTCACTTAATAACAAACACAAAATGTCCAGGGACTTTATACTAATGATCAACCCAAACCAAACCCACTGCCAACAAATCAATTTTGATGGAAAACAACCCTATAAAGAGAGCAAAGTAAAACTATCCCTTTTGGGTTTCTGTGGCTATAAATCTTTACAGGAGTAGAAAGCCTCATCTTTCTTCCATCGCGCAACTAATGGAGCTGATCTGCTTACCTTATGATTAGCAGTGTAACATGTAATCCACTGCACCACAAAACAACCTTCACCCCCCACCCCCAAACTCATTGGCATTGAGTCAATGCTGACTCATAGTGACCCTACAGGACAGGCTAGAACTGCCCTTGTGGGTTTCCAAGACTGTAACTTTTTGCAGGAGTAGAAAGCTCCATCTTTCTCCTAAGGAGTTGTGGATGATTTTGGACTGCTGACCTTTCAAATCAGAGCTCAATGTGTATTCACTAGACAACCAGAGCCTACACTACCAAAGCTCTTTAAATAAATGAACTCTTTTAAGCACACATAATGACGATGGCCCAAGCTCTGAGGTGTCTGTTGTTGCACTGCTGCCACTGCCGCCACCACCACCACCACCACCTCCACAGCTGCCCCTCCATTCCTGTAGCCACAGTTTCCTCAGGGTACCTCAAGGAGCAAATGAAGTACCTTCCTGATTCCTGGTTCCTACTACATGTCAACCATGTTACAATTTTTTTTTCATTCTGGTAATAGAGATAATTTATTATCAATACCTTCTCAAACCTGGAGGCCCAATATTTCTGATTATCCCAGGGAGAAGAAGCCTGCCAGTAGAAATTAGATACAACAAAATTATGGCTAGATTACATATGTTAGGGTTTCTGGTGGCAGAGTGTGTAATATATTGGACTGCTAGCCACAAGGCCAGTAGTTAAAAACCACCAGCTACTCTGCGGGAGAAAGATGAGACTTCTTGCTTCCATTAAAGATATATAGTCTCAGAAACCTAGAAGCAGATCTACTCTGTCGGTACAGGGTTGTTATGAGTTAGAATCAACTCATAGTTACTTAGTTGGTCAGTGAGTTTCTGAGTTTACACATGCTAAGTTACTCGGTGCTCTCTGCTTACTTCTGTAACAAAAATTTCATAAGCACAGCCAACCTGTAGGCATCTTTCCAGAAGTACTCAGCAGCAGATAAACTTTGACTTTCTTCCATGGTCAACTGCTAAACTTAAATAGTAAAGAAAGTAAAGCTCACCTAAAATAGCATATATACTCATGAATAAGCCAAGTTTTACAACACATTTTTAATGCAATTTCTGTGGTAAAATTAGGTGTCTTGGCTGATATTTGGGTTGCCTTATACTCGAGTATATATGGTAAGTGGTTGCAGTCAGCAATTTTTATGAAGGCTCCCTTACACTGTGGTTGAGAACAAAATACTCCAACCTGTTTACTGCACTAGCAGGCAGAGGCACATTAATCTAAGCATCAGTTCATTTTTATCAGTATGTTGAAGTATAGTTCAGAGCAATCAGTCCAATTGTAACACAGTAAGCACTAAAAGCAGTAAAAGAAGATCTGGATCACGTTGTGGAGATGCTGAAACTTCTGAAATACTACAGTAAACTTAAAGATTTCATGTTACGTAAAACCCTAAAACTCAACTCAGTAAAGAACAAAAACTGTTTCCTCAGGAATTTGAAAACAATATTTAGGTTCGTTGTTCAGAATAATAAGAAGAATGAAACTATTAAGGGAGAATAGAATAAGAATGATGTCCTTCGTGACATAATGACTAACATCAGAATGGATTCAATGTATTATAGATCTGTAAGAATTAAAAAGCTAATGTTCAAGAATAAAAGCTTGTTACTTCACTGCAAATTATGATTTCTTAGAAAACTTTTCCTACTCTTCCTTAAACCAGAAAAGAAGAGTACAACAGAACTCCAAATCTGGTCTCCCATGCACTGTTATGTAATGTAAAACCTCCTGCAAGACTAAAACTAGAGTAGACTCAAAAGCCTAATTGCTCTTTATAAGATTTAAGTTTATTTTTTTAAATAGGTCAGCTTGTTACACTATTCTTGCTGGACTTGAGAGGCACATTGTGTCAGCATACAAGGAATTAATTACTCTGGAGGACCAGGTACAGCCACTAACTTAGTTTCTAAGTTGGATTTTCTAGAACAATCTCTACTTCATAAGCTCTTGTTCTTTTCAATATAAGCCATTCATAATATATAACAATAAAAGTGTTTTGATTAATCTTAAGTATACATTAAAACATAAAGAGGGAAAAAGTTGTTACGAAAATAAGGGATAGGTATTACTTGATTAAATTACAAAAACAAAATTCTTGAGATATACTAAAATCTCTTTAGAAAAACGTGCTCCATCATCAAACATTCCTCAGAGTCCTATAGCAATGAGCAGAGCCTTTAATGAATACTTAATCATATTTTACATTTTGATTGTTCCCCCTTCAACTGAAACTTTAAATTAAACCTCTCTTCCCTTGTTCCTCCCCTTCTTCGCTGTTATGAGTGCCAAGTGCTCAAGCCTAATAAGTTAATGCTGAAAATAATTCATTGTTGTACTGCTAACCTAAACTTAAGTATAAGGAATTAGCCAAAAGAAAAAACAGATGTACTGACAGCAACAAGGAATACAGCCTTGACCATATGAGAGATGGAAACGTAGTCTTAGGGAAATAGCTCCCTGACCTTTCAGATATGTTAATAAAAGGTATGCTGATTTTCACCCATCTCTGTGATTGGCTGTACCAGCTGGTGGTTGGACTTTGATTTTGGTTTCAGTACTTTAAAACTTTTGCTGCCAAGCCTACTATAAAGATTAAAATAGAAGGTACAACAGCTTTCCTCTGAGATTGCCTTATAAATTGTCTAAGTTAGTTTATATTTAATTCATCTGTAGACAATTCAATTTAGGGGTACAGAGTTGTGGTAGTTACATAATCTTGTATCAACTTAAAGGTATCAAAAGTGAAGGGGGCTAAATTTTAGCCTGTCAATCAGGTCACAGCCTGATGACATCTCCTTGTAGGCGTGACCTTCTCATGAGGATTCTGGAAACTTCTCTATATCGCTGTTTCACCTTCCTGTTGACAAGACACATTGAGCCACAGGGAGACCTGCACCAGCCCTGTGATGCTTCCACCACCATTGGATCCAGACTTTTCACCCACCGGCCTCATTGGCAATGATCTTTTACCTCAACCTCTGCTGCTATGTAAACATATAGATAAAAATATTTTCCATAATGCTATTTGCAGGTTTTGTTGGTGAAGCGATGCAATTGCACTAACTCTGAAATTGTTTTTTACTAGCAGGACTTACTGATGGAGATGCAAAACGACAAGATGGAGAATTGCCACAGGAGCTTCCAGTGACAGAACCACCATTGATTGGTACGGGAACTGGGCAAGCTAGAGGAAGAAATCACAGATAAAGATGTGTATCAGTTTGTAATCCAACTAGATAATTTTAATAGAAGGGTGTGTGGGGTGGAGGACATCTTCTTAGGGAGGACCAAACATTGGTTTTTACCTACTACAGTGAAACCTATGAGACCTGGAAATCAACAAGACTGCCATGTTTTTCTGGTTTTCCTGCCTTGGGTAAAGTGCAGTTTTTCCACTTTTTTATTTAGTGGGGTGGAAATTTAGTTTTACTTTTCTAAAAACTTTCCACTTCACATAGTTTCTTCCTTTCCCTGGTTTTACTGTATACATTACAGTTTTCTTGTATAAATCCCAAACTGCAAAAAATACTAAATATATTTCAGCTTGGTCTTAGAAACAGAAGTTATTAAGTATCTAAAACAAGAGCAATTATAACTAGAAAAGCAAAGTAAAAATTAGCTTGGCAATAAAAAACAAAAACAAATTATCCTTTAAGTAAATACTTATTCACAAAGTAAAAATGCATGCATTGAGAACTTACATTTTTTTACTGGAACTTGCTCAAGAAAAGGATGGCTAAAAAATGCTTCTGTAATGAAAAATGAGACTGTAAAGTTTAAGCTGATAGGTTAATCTTTTCAAAGAATTTAATAAGTGTCTGAGAACATAAATCTGTATTTCTATTAAATGTAACAGCTATTATTTATATAAAACTATTGAAATTAGTGTTTCATTAAAAACTTAGACAATCATGATTTTCAAAGCAAAATGCATCAGTTTTTTGCCATTCTTAAATAGATAATCCATGGAATTATTATATATGCTAGGTGTTGGCTAAGAAGACATGGAGTTGGAAAAATGAAGACAAAAATAAACTCATACACACACACCACCAGATCAAAGAGGAAGAAAGGAAAACATCAAACACAAATACTATGAGAGGATAGTAACTAATCTACATTTAGATTTAATTATACTGAATATCAATGGTGTAAACACACCAATAAAAGACAAAGAATAGCAGACTGGATTAAACAACAAAATCCATCAATCTGCTGCCTTTAAGAGACACATCTCAAACTCACAGACAAAAAAAGACACAGAGTCAAAGGCTGGCAAAATATTTACCAAGCTAATGGCAATAAAAGAAATCAGAGTGGCAATATTAGTCTCTGATAAAATAGACCTCAAGGTACATGATATAACAAGATATATAATGTCCATATGCTACATAATGCTTAAGGGATCAATAAACCAAGAACTCTTAAAAATAATATATTTTTCTCAGCAAAAGACCCTCAAAATGTATCAACCAAATCTTCAAAGAGATGAAATGAGAAATCATCAGATCAACAATTATAACAGGTGATTTCAATACACTGCTCTCAAAGAAAGGTAGATCAACAGGTAAGAAACTCAATAAAGAAAAAAAGAAGAAGAAAGAAACTCAATAAAGAAAATGAAGAGTTGGAACAACACAATCACAAACAAGTCAACCTCCTAGACAATTATAGAACTCTCCAACCAACAGCAAAAGAAATACACATTCTTCTCCAATGCTCATATTGGAAAACAGACCATATGCTAGGCCATAAGGCAAGCTTGAGAAAACTGAAAACATATAGAGATCATTCAAACCATCTTCTCTGACCACAGTGCCATAAAGTTGAAAATTATTAATAGAAAGAGCAAAAAAAACAAAGACAAACACTTGGAGACTCAACAAAACACTACTCAAAAAAGACTGCATAACTGCCACAATTAGAGAGGAAAATGGGAAGTTCCTAGAAACCAATGAGAATGAAACCACAACATACCAAAACCTAAGGGACGGAGCACAGGAAGTTACCAGAGGTCACTTTATTACAATACACGCACACATTTAGAACAGAATCAACAACATAATCATTCCAGCAGCACAGGAAAGGAAATCATAAAAAAATTAGAGTGGAAATAAATGAACTGGAAAACAGAAGAACAATGGGAAAAATCAACAAAGTAAAAAGTTGGTTCTTTGAAAGGATCACAAAATCAACAAACCACTAACACAACAAATGTTGGAGAGGGTGTAGTGATATAAGAACCCTTATTCACTGCTGGTGGACTTGTAGTTATGTATAGCCACTGTGGAGGGTGATATATGATACCTAAAACAGATGGCAATTGAAATGCCCTATGCTCCAGCAATACCATTACTGGGCATATACCCCCCAAAAAAGAAACAGACCACAAACAGACATTTGCTCCCCCATATGAGCAGCATAGTTCACAATAGCAAGAAGCTGGAAATGGCTAAATTCCCATCGGTAGAACACAATAATAAAAAAATCTGGTAGGTACATACAATGGAATACTATGCAACCCTAAAAGACAGTGATGAAACCATAAAACATCTCTAGCCATAGAGCAGTGGTTCCTTCCTAATGCCTCTCCCCTTTAATACATACAGTTCCTCATGTTGTGGTGACCCCAACCATAAAATTATCTTTGTTGCTACTTCATAACTGTAATTTTGCTATTGTTATGAATCATAATGCAAATATTTGATATGCAGGATGTATTTTCATTGTTACAAATTAAACATAATTAAAGCATATTGATTAATCAAAAAACAATATGTAATTGTATATTGTGAAATATTTATGTGTTTTCCGATGGTCTTAGGCGAGCCCTGTGAAAGGATCGTTCGATCCCAAAAGGGGTCAAGACCCACAGGTTGAGAACCACTGTCATAGAGGGATCTAGAAGACATTATGCTGAGTGAAATAGTGAAAGCAGTCAAGCACAAAACATTATGAGTCCACAGTGACTTGAACAAGTGGCAGAATGGACGCACGCTCAGCCTTGTCATCAAGTCTTCTGGCTGTGGAGCCAGACAGCCTGGTAAGAGCCTGACCAGCACCAATGAACCATACACCATCCGCCCTAGGTAAGTATTGTGTAGGTCACTTGGGCAGAGGGTGTCTCACATCAGCTGGGATCAAATAGTGGGGGGGAAGTGGGGTGATGCTGTTTGCTATGTGGTTGGCATGTGGATGTTTTTCCTTTTGGCGGGGGTAATGAAACCCAGAATTGATGAACATATAGGGACAGCAAGTAGAATAAGGATTTTGTGGGGAGCAGGGTTCAGTGGTGGTGGTGGCATAAAAGGGTGATGATGTCCAGGAGTCAATGTAGAAAATGAATGTCTGGAAACTGGTAGCAATTACACAATTCTATTGATGTAATTGGTGAGTGGTAATGAAAAATAACCAAGCCTTGGGATTAATACACATATCATCCAGAGTTCAGTCATGTCCACTAGAATTATGTAATTGCTACCACATTAGTTTCTAAGCATTCTTTTTCTACATGAACTCCTTTGTTTAGGCTTTCAGTATTTGATAATGCTTTGAAGTTATGGATAAGGTTTTCAGAGGCTTCTTCTGACATGGTAGGAAGACAAATTCCTTGTTGACCTTAGTCTGGAAGTTCTCCTGAAACCTGTTCATTTTGGGTGACTCTGCTAGCATTTGGAATATCAGTGACACAGCTTCCAGCATCACAACACACAAACCAACACAATACTACATACCAACAGACAAGTGGTGCATATATTTGTACAAATCTTTATTTCTCTAAGTTATTCTTAAATATTTCATCTTTTGTGTGCTTATTATAAATGGTATTGTTTCTTGAATTACATTTCTGAGCTCTCTTCATTAGTATTCAAGAATAGATTATGCTGATCTTGTACCCTGCCACATTGCCAAAACTTTTTGTTTCCAGCCATTCCTTTATTGAGTCTCTAGTTTTTTTCATTACATTCTTATCATCTGCAAATAGAATTTTACTTCTTTGTCAATTTGTATACTTTTGATTTCTTTTTATTTTCTAGTTGCTCTGTAAGATAGTCAGGAAATGTTGAATAAAAGTACTGATAAAGAGCATCCTTTTAAAAAAATCATTTTATTAGGGGCTCATATAACTCTTATCACAATCCATACACACATCAATTGTGTAAAGTGCATTTGTACATTCATTGCCCTCATCAATCTCAAAACATTTCCTCTCCACTTAAACCCCTGGCATCAGCTCATTTTTCCCCTCGCTCCCCGCTCCCCCCTTCCTCATGAGCCCTTGATAAGTTTATAAATTGTTATTTTGTCATATCTTGCCCTGTCTGACGTCTCCCTTTGCCCACTTTTCTGTTGCCCGTCCCCCAGGGAGGAGGTCACATATAATTCCTTGTAATCGGTTCCCTCTTTCCTACCCACTCTCCCTCTACCCTCCCTGTTTCGCCACTCACACCACTGTTCCTGTAGGGCTCATCTGCCCTGGATTCCCTGGATTTTCAGTTCCTATCTATACCAGTGTACATCCTCTGGTCTAGCCAGACTTGCAAGGTCGAATTCGAGTCATGGTAGTGGGAGCGGGGAGGAAACATTTAGGAATTACAGGAAAGTTGTATTTTTCATCTTTGTTACATTGCACCCTGACTGGCTCATCTCCTCCCCGAGACCCCTCTGCAAGGGGATCTCCAGTGGCCTACTAATGGGCTTTGGATCTCCACTCCGCATTCCCCCCATCATTCACTATGGTAAGATTTTTTGTTCTGATGATTTTTTGTTCTGATGATGCCTTATACCTGATGCCTTCGACACCTCGACACTTCGACACTTCGACATAGGCTGGTGTGCTTCTTCCATGTGGGCTTTGTTGCTTCTGAGCTTGATTGCCGCTTGATTACCTTCAAGCAGATAAAGAACATCCTTATCTGGTCCCTGTTTACAAAAGTAATGCTCTCAGTTTTACCCTGTTGAATGAGATGTTATCTGGTTGTTTTGCATATATAACTTCTATTGAGTGGAGTAATTTCCCTTCTAGTTCTATTTTACTTAGTGTTTTGATCTGGATTGGGTTTGGATTTTTATTAAAAATGTTTCTGTATCAATTGATATGAATATGTAGTTTTATCTTTTGTTTTATTTATATGGTGGCTTACAGTGATTGTTTTTCTTTTTATAGTAACATCTTTGCATGCATGTACTCACACATATTGATATATTATTTCATTCTATTGGCTAGGATTTTGTTGAAAGTTTTACATCTATATTTATAAGGGAATAAATTACAATAGCTCTGTAATTTTCTAGTCTGCTAAATTTTCAAATTTGTTGGAATACTGTCATTCATAGTATTGTGTTATCTTTTTCATTTCATTTTGTTCTGTTGTGATGGTTATCCTTTCATTTCTTATTCTTGATTTTTGAATTTTCTCTTCTTGTTTGATGTGCATCTTGATTGCTACTAATTGTCCTCTGAGTCCGCTATATCCCACAGATTCTGTTATATTGTCTTTTTGTTCTCATTTGCTTTAAGGAACTTTACATTTTAATTCCTTATTTCTTCAATTACCCAACAATTTTTAAGTAGTATGTTTGTTCCATTTGCATGTATTTTCCCTTTTTTTTTTTTTTTGGTCCTGGTTCTTCTTATTTCTAATTTTATCGTACCATGGTCTGAGAAAACATATTGGAGTATCTCAATATTTTGAAATGTATTAAGGCTTGTTTTGTGGCTTAACATATGGTCTATTTTAGAGAATGA